GACACAGTGTTTTAAAGACTTGAAAATATTTTTCTCTATAAAAGGGGGGCCGGCAAAAAAAGTTTGGGAACCACTACATTAGGCCATGCTGGATGAGCCATGGTGGCCATCCACTTGAACCGTCCAATGACAGGTTTTTGACATGACAGGCACCAATTCGGAGAGTGACTGCAGATGTTTGAATAAAGTTATACTGCCTTTACCAAAGACATTGCCCCAACAAGGGTGTACAGATTTTGGGTGAGTATTCGATGGAGCTCACAATGAGATAGGGGCATCAAACAGGGCATTTGGAGATGGAATGAACCACAGATCCTCACTACAGGTACATTTGGTTTTGACACTCAGTATCAGCTTCAAACCCACCTGTACCTGTACTGAAGTTGAAGTGAGACAAGATGAATCCGTTTGCATTTGATTTATGGGAAAGGCTGGAGATGATAAGCCTTCATTTACATTTATTTCTTTAGCAGACATGCAATTAAGAAATGAGAAATACAACATGAGATTCATCTAAAAGAGGTATTAAAACAAGAAGTAACAATACAAAAAGGGAATTAGTTAATAAAAAAGGGGATTTAGGGAAATAGTGAAAGCATATAAGAAGAGTTTTTTTAAAGAGTAAGCAAGTTGCAGTTAAGTGCTCACGGAAGAGATGAGTTTTCAGCTGTTTCTTAAATATGGTCAAGGATTCAGCTGTCCCAGTAGGGTTAGGAAGATCACTCCACCAGCAAGAAACAGTGATTTAGAGTATATAGAGAAGAGGAGGGGTTCAAGAACTAATCCTTGAGGAAGCCCCGTGACCAGTTGATGTGCTGTGGATACCTCTGTTCTCCAGGCAACCCTGAAAGACATTCCTCTGGTAAGATTCAAACCAGTGAAGTGAAGTTCATGTTATACGCAGTGGGTAAGAGTGTCAAAAGCTGCAGGTAAATCTACCATAATGAGATCTGACATTTTGGAATCAGCTCTCGCAATCTGCAGGACTTCTGTGACTGATGACAAAGCGGTCTCAGTTGAGTGGCCGCTTTTGGATCCTGATTGCTTGTTGTCCAGCCAGTTGTTCAGTGAAAGGAAAGATGATATCTAGTTGAAAACAATAGGTTCCATTGTTGTCCCTGGACAGGATGTTAAAGTGTAGCATAAATTGTGTGTAGCGCTATTCACATCCATTAATGAGAAGTGGGTGTGGGAGGGAAGAGGGGATGACACAAAAGAGAGAAGGCAGAAGGGGGAAAGGGAGCGTAGGTTTCACCTGAATGGGACAGTTCAGACACTTAAATAACAAGGAATACAATTAGCTTCTACTTGGCAACAGCTGTTATTCTAAATAGATACTAACACAACAAGAATAAAAATAAAAAGAAATAGTACCACAAATAAATCCTTTCTAGCAGGTCTCAAACTAACTAATTGCTTCTCCCTGTTCAGTGAGACAGGGCTTCATATGGTGGATAGATAGCTGGATGAACTTTTCTAAACCCATGGAATCATCACAACTGGTAAACTGTAATCTCAACACCGGCTCAATCCCCAGACTCTTTTCATCCATTCAAAGAATGGGTAGCGTGGACGGTGATGAAACGCTTGCCTTGCTGGAGATGCTGACGTTGTTCACTGGCGTAGAAATCTCCAACAGGGTGACTGAAGACCTCATAATGTGCGACAGAGGCAGAACAGAATATGGTGGTTGGCACATCCTGCTCCCAGATGATATTTGCCCATTGTAGCACTGCTGGTGAAAAGTGAAATGATGATGGTCATCCTGGCTTGCTCCGTCATGAATAGACAGGGTTGCATTTCCATTTCGTGGGAGCAGTGAAAACGGCTTTCCTTTGCCAATGTGGAGAATGTCACTGGAGGGAAGCAGTGCCATGGAGCGCTAAAGAAGTCACAGATGGAGAAGACATCTTATCTCTCTTATCTGATACACTCAGTTTAGTTCATGGAGTCTCTCCTAATGAGCTGATGATCAGGTGTATTAAATAAGGAAGACGTACAAAATGCGCAGAGCAGTGGAGTTGAGTTGAGAGTTGAGAACCACTGACAACTCAGCCTGTCATTATCACTAAACAAACCCAGACAGGGCGATTAGGGGACCCCTTACATTACAATATACAAAACATATTCAGGGATGTGCATAAGTGGTGTGACCAAAATAAAAAATGTGCTGGGTAAATAAGTTCAGACCGCTCATTTAACTGTAATACTGTATAAGATTTACATTCGAACTAAACGCATAGATCTATGCTCTGAAGTGAAAGTGACTTTCACTTCAGTGAAGTGACGTGTGGCCAAGTGGTGTCCCATACTTTGAATTTGTGCTCTGCATTTAACCCATCCAAGTGCACACACACAGTAGTG